AAAGAATTTATTCTGGGGTATCAACCCCTCCATCTTGTACTGACTGCCGAGCATTATCTGCTTATCCAAATATACTGGCGTCGGCTCAGTACAATCCTGCAGAGTTTACCATCTAGAAAAGGGTAAGGCTAGGAACGATCACCCGCCCGCCCCTTCCCTATATGCTCCATCACTCCCTCCTCTCCCCCCTTCCTCCTCCTCTTCTTCTCTTCCTACTACACCTTATGAATTCAAATTTAAAATTAAAACGGGTATGTAAACTTTTGACTTATAAACTTTGGGTCTATAAACTAATATTTGAATTCAAATTCAAATTTGAATCGGGTATATAAACTTTTGACTTATAAGCTTTGAGTCTATAAATTTTAGGTGTATAAACTTTAGATGTATAGAAATATTATATATAAAAAAATATTTGAATTTAAATTCAAATTTAAATCGGATATATTTCAAATTCAAATTTGAATCGAGTATATAAACTTTTGACTTATAAACTTTGGGTCTATAAACTTTAGGTGTATAAACTTTATATGTATAGAAATACTATATATAAAAAATATTTGAATTCAAATTCAAATTTGAGTCGGATATATAAACTTTTGATTTATAAACTTTGGGTCTCTAAACTTTATATGTGTAAACTTTAGGTGTATAAATTTACTAAAATAGGAAAGTAATACGATGCCAAAAAAGGAAACTAGGTGGAGGGAGGGGATCCGAGTCTGATCGCCCCTCGCAATCGATCGCCAGGTAGAAATCTCCTCTAGAAAACGTTTTACATCCTGCATATTTTGGAGATCTTTGCATTAGCTAAATCTGCTTTCCTTCAGTTCAATCTACAGAACAGTTGTTGCAATCTGATGCATACTTTCCCCAGGTACTTGCTTCCAAGACAAAAGTGGTTCCCATCCAACTTGCAACGGAAAAACAGTTCATATCTTTATATACTATTAACAGAGCCGAGAAGGAATCCTCCATGTACCATCTGCTGATCTGCACGGTCAGTTGGTTCTCCGTTCCCCCTTCTTGTTCCTACTGAAGATCAAGCACAAAAAAAAATAATAATAATAACAATCCTGGTGACTCGACAATCTTGTTTGAGGACACTTTGTAATCTGTCTCATGGTGCCATGTATGCGTATAGGTCTATGCAGATGATCCAGTCATGCATGTAATTGTCCGGAGGAAATCATGATTCTCAACGGAGTATCATGTCATTGCGACACCGGATGGGCGAGCAAGAGGCGTCAAGGTTGGGAACAGAGCCGTCTCCGCCGCCGTGGTAGCTCGCCGTCGTTGATCCGGCGGGCCCGAGCTTGCCATTACTGAACCCGGCGAACCTGGCCTCGAGGCTGCTGGCTAGAAGAGGGGAAGAATCACGATACCATTGGATTGAAAACCAAAGCATCGGTTGACTGGTGAATACTAGCAAAAAAATTGATGCTATGTTCAGACCATATGTTATCTGATATCTCATATGTGAACAATATCACTGAATATGAGTATATGCATTGGTTTGGTGACTATATATGACAATGTGTAATTGAAGCGTGTATCGTTTCTTCTTGTTTTTTTTTTTGTTACACACTTACACTGAACATTTCTGTAAACAGCTAGCTACCAAAGTATTAACAGCCCATGTTAGTTGACTGGTAGCAAAAGGATGATGTGCTATATTCAGAGCATATGTTTTCTCAAATGTGAACTGTATCACAGATTGTGCTTGCCCAAGCATATCCATGGATTGGTGACTATATGACAATTTGTAATTCAAGCGTGTGTTGCCATTTCTTTGGTTACCTGGAACATTTCTGTAAATAACTTCTATAAACTTCTCTCCTTTATTAATGAGCTAGGCAATCCTTTAGCCTACTTTCAAAAAAAAAAAAAAGGTCATCTGGTACTACAGGTTTTTTACATCAGTCACAACACACACGGTCATCTAAATTCATATAAATAAATGAGAGAAAAGTTATCAATTACTTCATCCGGTCATAAATATTTTATATTTGAAGACAAGATTCAGTCTAACTATTAATTTTTTTTACCATAAATTTTATATTAGAATAAATTGAATAAGTTGAAAGCAAAAGTATGCATACCTTTTTTGAAAAAACAAAAGCATTTGACAAGTTATTAGTGTTTAAAGTTTTAAAATATTAATTTAATCTTGTCCTAAATGTCGAATATTTATAGTTATTAATACAGATATGTTAAAAAAGCAGAAAAAACCTAGCCAAGAGTGGGCCCCAGTTGGGCCAAATCAACAGCACAAAGCAGGGGAAAAGTACACCGAAGGTCCCTCGACTTGTCATCGGGATAAAAAACGTCCTCGAACCGCAAAACCAGATACGCGAGGTCCCTTAACTATACAAAACCGTTCACCCGACGTCCTTAGGTGGTTTTGACCCCGGTTTTGTCCTACGTGGCTGCTGAGTCAGCGTGGGACCCACGTGGGCCCCACATGTCAGGAAGCCACATCATCACCTTCCCTCTTTCTGGGCGGCTTCTCGGCGAGGCAAAGCGGCGGTGCAGAGGTCGGCAGGCGAGGCGGGAGAGAGGAGGGCGGCGGCAGCGCGACGGCGGCCGGAGCCCGGGGGGAGAAGGGTATGGCGGCTGCGGCGGTAGCTAGGGGGGAGCGCGAAGAGGACGGGACGATGTCGCGCCGTCGCCCACACCTGCCGCCCCTCGTGCTCGTCGCGCTCCCACACCGGCACGCCGCGCTCCACATCGTACTCCGTCACGACGCCGTCTTAGTCGCTGCAACCCACGTGCGCCACTACCTCGCCGCCGCCCCGGCCGCCACCGCACGCTACTCAGCTTTGCCGGGATGTAGATGCAGCCGACGGGGCTAGATGGCTCGGCGACCCTGTAAATCCGGATCTTTCGGGCGATGCCGCCGATGGCGATGTGGTGGCCGGTGGGGTCGAAGTCGAGGCTGTCGATGGAGTCGGACGCGCCCGTGAGCACCGGCGACGGCACGGTGGCCGCCAGGCGAAACTCCATTCTAACCTCGGCAGCGATAGCTTGTCTGCCTTGTCATCGGGAATAATGTCGGCTTGTCCACCTCCGCACCCATCGCCGCTGCGCTAGCCACCTCCTGGCCCCACCTCCGCCGTCGCCGCCGCGTGGTGGTGGTCGCTGCCGTGCTCCTGCTCCTCCTGCCGGACGCCGCGCGCAAGCAGCCCACCTCCATGGCACCCGCAAGGCGTTGGCGACGGGCGACGCGGCGGCGGAGGAGCAGCGCGCGGGCTCCCCCGCCGGCCGCCACCCACGAGGCAAATCTCCATCTCTCCCCATCTCGCGACCGCTCTGAGCATAGCTGTGCCACTGCCCCATGCTCGCTGCTGCCGCGTCGTTACGTCGGCAACATCGCCTTCCACGCCCCCGACGCTGAGCTCCGCGCCGCCGCCGCCCGCAGATCCTTCCCCCGCCGCCGCCTCGTGGACCTCGTGGGCGGCGGGCGGCGGGGGAGCCCGTGCGCCGCTCCTCTCCTCACCGCCCGCTCGCTGCTCCTCTGCCACCCACGCGTCGCCCCTCCCCCGCCGTCCGCGCGCCCGCCGCCGCCACCTCGTGGGCGACGGCCGGTGGTGGAGCCCGCGCGCCGCTTCTCTCCCCGCTCCTGCGCGCTGCTCCGCCGCCGCCCGCGCGCCGCCCCTCCCTCGTCGCGCACCCCGCAGCTCATCCCCCCACCGCCATTGCGTCGCCCGTCGCCGGCCGCCGAGAAGTGAGAGAGAGCGCCTCACACTGCTGCTCAGAAGGGAGAGAGCGATGAGGAAGGGAGAGAAGAGGGAGGAGGAGGGTGATGACGTGGGTTACGCTGACAGGTGGGGCCCACATGGGTCCCACGCTGACTTAGCAGCCACGTAGGACAAAACCGGGGTAAAAACCACCTAGGGACCTCGGGTGAACGGTTTTGTATAGTTAAGGGACCTCGTATATCTGGTTTTGCGGTTCGAGGACGTTTTTGTGTCCCGATGACAAGTTGAGGGACCTTCGGTGTACTTTTCCCCCCAAAGCAGTGCGATGTCTAGAGCATGCAATCAATGGCAGCCAGAAGTGGCCCAAGATGTAGCCGGCATTCGGGTATTTTTCTCTCAACAATTCTCACATGTTCCGAAAGATTATATTGGCATGTAACTAGGAACGAATAAAGTATGATGAAATTGACTGGAATAGCAACCAAGACCTGATTTACAACATCTACTACAAATGTTTTGCAGGAAAAAGAACAACATCTCCTCCATATCAGTGTTTAACGGAGGATAAAATATTAATCGGCGACGCTGAGATCGTTTCTGTGCCCTCTTTTTCCTTCTTGTTTCCCAGCCAAAAGAGGTTGTCTTGTCGAGCATGATTAGTAAGAAGTGAACATCTTTAATCATTTATTCACTTTTTTAATCCTTTATTCCCTCACTGTTAGCGTTTGTCTTCTCTTTTTTTTTTTCCTTTATGGATGCCAAATTTCGAAAGAACAAACCACGGAACCATAAGCATAGAATCTCGCCTTTTTCTTTTTTCTTTTCTCCAACATGGGAGTGAAATGCCCTGAAAAGGGGCATGAGTGATACTATGATTAGCCAAAGCAACCATATTATTCAAGTTAAATATGGTTTTTAACGTTGATACCACTGATAAAGTCGTCCAGTAAGAGCATACCAGATTATGCAGAATTCCCGTGAGGCTTATGTACAGATGTACTAAATATATATTTCTAGTACCCATATGGCTGAATAAAGCTAATGCTTAGTACGTATTGAAGAAAAGGCTTCCATGTAATCACAGGTACTCAACATTAACAATCTTTGCAGCATGAGACAGCAGTGTGCAAAGAGCCGGCAAACCAACAAAGCAAAAGCAGTAAACTGAGGTAAAGGAGTGGCCAAGGCGAAGTATGGACCTAACCAAAGAAGCTTCGGCACCAGATATGATCCAGACTTGACAGATAAATGCCAGGAGGATGTAGGAATCACCAAGCACAAGCACATGACACAGGAAAGTTATACCCTCAAGTGCACTGCCTTAAAAGAACACAAGCATGAAGCATCACATGTACTTGTAAGGTAGCCGATGTCGAAAATAGTCAATAATCAAGAAAAGAAAAGAAAAAACTGGACTTCTCAGTTAAGCAAAGAACCTTGAATCCTTGAATGCTTCAACACCCCTCAATCCTCATAACTCATGAGGGCACAACAAACAGTTGTCCTTTCAACACTCCTCAATCCTCATAACTCATGAGGACACAACAAACCTAACACAGCAATTCCAATCGGCTGACAGAATACAGACTTACAAGCATTCCATCCATCTCTAATGAAAAATCCATTTACAGGTTTAGAGGTATGACGTCTATTAATTGGAACGTAGTCCAACACGTCCAAACGAATTAACAATTAGTATCCTAGTAGCCTGAAACATAGTCCATTTCGTCATAAAGAATGATTAGTGCCCTAACAAAACCGGTGAAAACTGGTATTTGGTCAAAACTTCTGTACAGGCAACAGCAAGTGACTTGATGATTCCTCAACCTCTGGCTAGGTACACTTCGAGTTGCTTTCCTTTGCCACTCTGTAGTGAGCTCCCAGAATGGTAACTGTGCCTCCTGTAATCCATTGCTGGAGATTTGCTTCCAAAGGCAACTTGATGCAGCTGCAAGAAAGCAAACATACTTACAGCAAACGCTGCAGCGTTACCCAGAGCACTACCGATTTTGTCCACTCGAAATGAGTTCTTGGCCAAAGATAGACTACAAGATAACACATTCCCCATAATACTTGAACCGTTGCTCCCACTGTCCATTACATCCTCCCCTGACTGGTTATGAGTTGCACGAACATCTTCCGGTGAGATGAATCGACTCTTGTCACCAACTTCGCCTACAAACGCCAAGGCCTCATCAATGACTCTATACTTCTTCCCCTGATGTTCAGCTAGCCTCATGGCAAGGACTAGTCGGCTCTGTTCCAATCTAGCAATTGCAGCATCCTGCTCTGCCCGCTGTTGTGATTGAACGGTCTGTGGAGGAAGAACAATATTAACGACTAAGAAACACAAGCTTCATAACCATACCATTAAGTAGGAAAGATAGAACTGAATTAGCTAAACACACAGGGAACTGTGCATTGCCTATATGTATGCACAGGTTTCCAACCCACCACTCATAAAAGGACAGTAACCAAATTATGCTCAGAACTAACTAAAATGGAACATGACAAAGCAAGAGCTACTTCACTCTGTTTCATTCTGGTAAGGTACTACAGCAAAATTAGCCTCTCTTACATACCTTGGCCAATGTTATGCTGAACTTTTAACCAGTGATGAATGATTATAGAACAAATAATATCTTCAAGTATCATATTAATCATGGTTTTATGCTATGAACTTTTATCCAGTGACAAATGACTACAGAACAAATGATGTTTTTTCTTGCCTAGACAAATAGCAAGCATCAACTAAAAAAACAACAAAAAAGAGAATAAAGCCATGTGGACTATCACTTTTTTAACATCCACATGCCTTCATTTCCAATCTATTTGCGCCTTAATTAGCAAATTTATAGTCAAAAGCATATGCACAACCAAACACCCAAAGAAAAAGGCCAAAATCCAGCACCCATGACATGATATTAACAAACCACATAATTCAGCATAACTCATGAGCAGCAACTCAATGATCCTACCATGCGAACAGCATGATGCAATCAACATCCAATCGAAACATCAAACGAAGCGCCAGGTGGATAGCAACAGAAGCTAGCTCCCATGAAGAAATTGAAATCATTAGCCCCATCTCAAATTACAGTCTACAGGCCGCGCAATGAAAACGAAGCTAAATGATAGCCGCAATCACGTGAACAACGCACTCTCCCCCAGCCTGACGAGGATCCATTCCCCCACTCCCCCATTCATTGCAACAACTCATACATGGTCCTCCAGGTAACCAATCCAGAGCAAAAAAAAACCCTAGAAGAACAGAGGAAGGGGAGGAGGCGAGCGCAATCTCACATGAAGGAACTCGAGGTGCTCCTCGAGGTCCTCGAGCGCCGTCCGTATGGCGTGCAGGCTCCTCGCCTCCGCCATCGCCTCCGCCGCCGCGGCCTTCGCCGAGCCCACGCCCACACCATCCCCCACCCCGCCTCCTCCTCCTCCTCCACCCCCCTTCAACCCCTTCACGAACACGTACCCGTTCCTCCCCTCGCGCGCGGGCGGCGCCGACGGCTGAGACGGCGGCGGAGGCGGAGGAGGCGGAGGCGGCGGGAGGAGGAAGTGCGCGCGGGAGACGGCGAGGATGGCGTCGCTGAGGCGGTCGTGCAGGTCCCAGATCCGCTCCAGCACCTCCTCCGCCTCCGCTGCGTCCCATCTCATCTTCCCCCCGCTCGCCGCGCTAGGGTTTGCGAGGTCGCCAATGGTGGAGAGGAGGAGAGGAAGCGAAGCGAAAGGGAGGGAAAAAGAAGAGAGGAGGAAGAGGGGGAGGGGCGATGGTGATGGCGGCACGACCGCACGACCGATGTGGAGAGAGCGAGAGAGAGAGAGAGAGAGCTTTTTTTTTTTTGATGCAAATATAAATATCACGTTTGTTTGGATGCGTTTGATTTTTACCTTTTTATTTTTGAAATGGGAACAGAATGATTTGGAATTTCAGTTGACAGTGACAAGTTGAGGAGCATAATCCTATGGACAATTTCAATTGGGTATAAAATTCCAGCTAGGATATTTCGATTTTATGAGTTTTATTTATTCTGATGAAATTCATGTAAAATTTGTCATATTATGCGATTTTTTTTGTGCGGTCCAAAAGAAGTTTTAAAAAAATATTCACGGAATGGAGGGGCCTATAGGGTAGATGGATGGATTCGTCGCCCCCAAAGAAAAAGGGTGGAAAGTAGCACCATTTCGTTGGATCTGAGCTGATTTGCAGGCAGGTAGTTGGAGGCATCATTTAAATAATTCAAAAGAGGATTAAATAATATTACTATCGTACTATAAATATTGCAGAAAATTGTGCCACGCTTGCTGATATTTAACGTTGTGGACCTCTGTACACTTACGTGCAGGTTTGTGCTCATCATGACCCAACAAACATTACAACCCCACAATTCAAAAGCAAAAAAGAAAAGAAAAACACTTTTGAAAGAGCTGTAATCCAGTATATTTAACTTGAAATTTTGACATTTTGACTCTTTCGAAGAACTTATTTTATAAATGAACCAGAAAAAAAATATAACCAAAAGTAGTCCTTTACCTCAGCGTCATGGGTCACGCTGAGGCCCAACATCCTAGCGCCATGTAGTTTGGCGATCTCCAGAAACCATCAAAACACCACTCACCACTACAACACACAAGAAATCATATGCATTTAGATCTATTACTCTTTTCATATTGTATTTCACGGCCTCAGCGCCAATGTCACACCCTGAAAATTCAAAATATATAAATTGTTGTTTAATTGGAATTTTTAGAAATAATTTTAAAAGTCTTGAAAAGAAAATCTAATTTTAATTAATAAATTCCAATATAAAATGGGGCCAGATAAAATTTCATTAAATACTTTGCTTAATTCTATAATTCCTAGATTTTTCTGGGATTTATTTGAGCTAAGGAAGTATTTTTAATAAATAGAATTGCATTTAAGGAATAATTTAAATTGAAAAAGGTTTTAAAAAGTCTCTTTTGGCTTTGGGCCGAAAGTCGGCCCAAAACCTCTCTTCTCTCTCCTCGGCCCAGCCGGCCCAGTCCGCAGCCGCCGCGCGCGCGCGTTCGGTCGCTGACAGGTGGGTCCCACCTGTCGGACCCATCGTCCTCCTTCGGCCGCCGCCGCCGAAACCCTAGTTTCGCGCCGCCGCCGTTTCCTTTCCAAATCTGGCCGTTCCTTTCCTTCTCCGGCCGAATCAATAGAGGGGAAATGATCTCCGGGATCTCCTCTACCTTTTCTCCTTTGGAATCTTTGGCTAAATCGTTTTGGAAGTTCGTGGAATCGAGTTCGTTTCGGATCGGTTTCCTTCTCTCCAAGCCGAGCTTTCCTTCGTCGTTGTCGCCGCCTTGGGCCTTCGCCGCCGCCTCCGAGCCCCTTTAAAAGGACCCCCGGTGTCTCCTCTACCCGTTGCCACCTTCGCCTTCGCCTCTCGTCGTCGGAAAAGCCCTAGCGCCGTGTGCCCTAGCTTTGCCGTCGCCGCCGCCGCTCCAGCCGTGCGCCGCCGTCGTTTCAGCCGTCGCCGTCGCTCGGGAAGACCACCGTCGTGCTCGCCAAGTCGTCGCCGTCCTCGTCCGCCCCTTCGCCGTCGCCGGAGATCACCGGAGCAGCATCGCCGTCGTCGACCCGAAGGTTCCCGCCGCTTCCTCCTCGTCGCCGTCGCCGTCCGTTGGTCTTCCGCCGCCGTTTAGGTCACCGGTGAGTTCGCCGTGTTGTCCTCTACGTCTTGGTGCCCTCCGTTTGCGTCCTAGTGCCGCCGTTCGCCGGCGAGCGTGCGCCGTTCGAGCCGTCTCCTCCGCCGAGCCGCCGCCGCTGTCGGTGACGTCACCGCTGACGTCATTGGGGTCGTCCGCCGTGAGCCGCCATGGACCCGATTGATCTCGGCCGTCCGTTTTGGATTGGTTCGATCTCGGCCGTCCGTTCGTGTGAACCGCCGCCCGTGCGCCCGGTCCACCAAACCCTAGCCGCTGACGCAATAATCCTTCTTTTCCTTTTCAAAAATAATTCATTATTGCGTCATAATTCAATTTAAACCGATATAAGTGTTTTAATCCGATTTAATCTTTAAAAATTCATAACTAATTCATCTTAGCTCCGATTTAGTTGGTTCAAGTCTCTAAATTTTTCTAAAATTGAGATCTACACATTAAAAATATCCACATGTACTGTTCATGCTTGTTTATGTGCTGTTTTGGTGATTTTGCTCTTTTCTGCTTAGATTCCGTCGTTTCCGGAGAGTCCGTTTTCGCCGGAGAAGAGTTTGAAGAGTTCCAAGGCCAGCAAGGCAAGTCACACAGATCCCAAACAACCCTTTGAGCATGTTGATCCTATTTAAAGCTATTGTTTCTATTCAACTATTGCATCTATTTTCGAATGTCATTGGGTGGAATTGACCTATTCTTTGTTATGGCCCTTTCGTACTTGATTACCTTATTCCTTGATACCTTGGGTTATTACAATTTGACTAGTTGAGCTTTATTTATATTGGTTCAGCTAGATATTAGATATAATTGCTTAGCCCTGCTTAGAAACATTAGCACACATTCGGGATAACTAATGATTCACTATTATTTCATGATGGTTTAATGATAGTTCACGATGGTCAATCGTGATTAGTTAATTAATTAATGTGCCAACTAAAACCTGGTAATGGTGGGTTGTGAGCACATGGTTTTGTTGGTCGTGCTCATGACAATTAAGGACCGGTTCACGAGTTTCGGTTGTGAAACATTAACCGTGCCAACCACAAGCCAGCATGGGCAACGGCTTTATCTTTTGTATAGCATGGTTCATTGCGGGGCACCAGACTGAGAAGTGGCGGAGATAAGCCCACGGGGGTCGCTGGGGAGTCCATGCCTTGTTTATAAGGGGGTGATTATGATCCAGGAAGGTGCGCTGCAGTGGATTGTGTTATGCGAGGGGTATTGTCACAACTCCTTTCCGAGATACCGTGGTGGTATTGAGGCACATGGTGACATGATGTGGGGTTGTGTCTTGTGGGTACAGTGGTACACCTCTGATCAGAGTAAAACTATTCGAATAGCCGTGCCCGCGGTTATGGGCGGGTTTAACAATGTCTTTCGTGATTAGTCTCACACCTCTCATCATTGTAAAAGATGCTTAAACTGGTAATAATTTGATTAGCTCCTGGTTTGGAATGGTATATTCCTGGTTTGGAGATAGAACTGTGCAGCCGGGGTGGTTGTTCAGAATGGTTGGGCCTATACGATAGGGTATGTTGTATAGCGTTGGATTAATATTGTTTAATTACTTAACTGTTTTATCAAATTCTCAAATGTTTGCTAAATACTGCTTTTGCAAATGCAACCCTATTATGCCATCCTTTGTTATCCTGTGCACTTACATATTTGCTGCGTGGCTTGCTGAGTATGTCATATACTCACCTTGCAATCATTCATCAGAGGAAGAGTTCTACAATGAGGCTGATGGTGTGGAGGTTTAGGTGTAGCCTTGGTCAAGCTGCCTGTGGAGTGGAGCCGTCTGCGCCGTTTATTTATTTTCCGCTGCTTAGATCTTTATTGATTGAGAGGAACTATCTACCTCTGTAATGACATTTTATTCGCTTATTAATTAGAGTAATATTTGTACTCTATTATCAATTTGTTATTGTGTGCCTCGGCTGATTCCTGGACGAGGGTTCACACACATGTAAGCGTTTGGAATTTTGGATAGAAATTCTGGGCGTGACAGCCAATGGGTCTGGCGTTATGATGTTGGGCCTCAATGCCAAGGCCCGTGATGCTGAGGTGAAGGCCTATTTTTAGTTATATTTTTTGTCCAGGTTTACTTATAGAATACGTTTATCAAAAGGGTTAAAATGTCAAAATTACGGATGTTTAACTCAATGCATTGTAGGTTCAACTAGTGTTTGTAGCTAGAGTCACATGGACTGGTGTAGTAATTGAGGGTATGCCTAACAAATTTAGAAGAAATCTTAACACGTCTAGTAAAAAAGCGTCATTCTTAGATGGAAAAAAAATTATCCCTATGAAGAAAAGAAAATCTTGTTTAGAGAAAGAAAAACATTTGAAATGGATTGATTTCATTGAATTGTACAAACACCTAAGGGTCCATTTGATATAGCTTCCTAAGAATTGTTCCTTTTGTCACAAAGATAGACAATTTTACATTTGTTTCATGAATGCAAATTTGCCTGTTTTGTGTGGTGCACTATACAAGTGGCTACAGGGCTTTTCCCGCCTCGTGGTGTATCCAACATGTTTGGTAATTTGCTACGGGGAATTAGGAAAAGCCTTAAGTCACTTATCCTGTTAGGGGCAACAACTATTTGTTGGCCATTAAGGTTTTGTAGGAATGATGTGGTGTTTGACAAAAGAAAAATCTATTCTTCTTTACAGGTTATTTATTCTAATTTTTTACAATTTGGTTCTTTTAAAAAACTTATTTTACAAATAGACCCCTAGAAAAACTTATCCCAGAAATGATCCTTTTTGGAGCACCAGAATCACTGGCGCCAGTCATCCAACGGGACAGTGCCAGCCTCTCTGGTGCCGTCCTCCTACCACCGTGGCGGGTCGGCGCCGAGGTGGCAGGGGGAGTGCACCAATGTGGCCCCAACCCCATTCTTTTCCTCTCCTCTCCTCTCTAGTGTAGAGGAGAGATGTGCAACTTTTTTATTTTGTGTTATTTTTTTGATATTTTCTTCACAAGAACCAACCATGTGACTTGTAGATTTAAAATATTCTTAAGCCTTTTTTACATCTTTCATATCCTATAAACAAAGAAAAAGTTCGGGATAGCGGCGGTGATACTCAGTGGCGTCGAAATTTGCATTGTCGTCGGGGCAGGGGTCGAGG